AAGAAGGGGATATCGTGTTTGGCATATGCGGATGACCTGTTGTGTATGATTGAGGATAATAGGAGTGAGATTGAGGATCTAGGAACGGAAGTGGTTGCTTGGGGGAATGCAGTGGGTGTCGAGATGTTCAGGGAGAAAACGGTTATGATGCTTCTGAAGGGATCGTTGTCTGACTCGAGACCGCCGAATGTAAGGGTTCAGGATAAGCGTGTGAAGTATGTGAAAGAGGAGGAGTATCTGGATATAAGAGTTAGTGAGCGTATGAATTTTAGGCCACAAGTCGAGAGTCTGGGACGTAGGGTGATCGGAGTGATGGGGAAATTGAGGCGTGTATTGAGGAAAGAATGGGGTCTGGATAAACGAACGGTACGAGTGATATATAAAGGATTGGTGGTTGCGTGTGCTTCGTTTGGTGTGGGAGTATGGTATGATGTGTTGAGGTTTGGATATGCGAGGGAGTTGGTGAACAGGTGTCAAAGGAGCGTGTTGTATGGGTGCATGGTGTTTTGTAGGACAGTGAGTACGGATGCGATGCAAGTGTTGGTGGGAGAGTTACCGTGGGATTTGGAATTTTTGAGGAGAGGAGTGATATTTAGGGCGAAAAGGGGAGTGAGTCTAGGAGAATTGGGATAGCTGCAGATTAGGTTAGAAAAGGGAGAGAATCTGGAGAAAAAGGGTGTGTTGGATGCGAAAATATGGGAGATCTAGCAAAAGAGATGGGATATGATTTTGTTCCGAGTGTGAGGTTTGCGAGTGACAATATTTGGTTTGCATATTATTTTCGAGTGTGGATTTCATGATGAGGAAAGAAGGAGTTGTGAAGAAATTCCATTTCCACTTAATGGGTGAAAAAAATTCCAATCTTTAGTAGTTTCAAAAAAAGTGTGAAATTTACCCAAAGCTACCAAAAAATCTTTGGCTGGTTAAATTGATTCCTCTCCTTTCTCTGCTATTTAAAATATCAATTGATATTTAAGCATGCAAGTATGTCTTCCCTAGTTGAAAAAATGAACAAACGTGTGTGTAGATGCATCTTACAACGTTGTTACTTTTTGATTAAATTACCCATTGAAGTACAAGCAGGGTCTTGCTTTCTTCTCTAAACGAAGTAGAACATGGCATTTTAAGGAAATTTTAGTAATAAAAACTCACTAAAATCTACCAGCACTACCCCTACCAGTGTAGGGGTGTATTCAAAAAATACAATATATTAACGAAAACCGGGCTATATATTTACGAATGTCTATGTTTTCATCAACAACATAAAAACTATTTTCAAAAAGCTTTAATCAGCGAAAGTTGCACAAGAAAAACGGAGATCTACCGTTATCCACGTCATAGAACAACACTGTTTGAAAACAGCTGTTACTACCAATCCCTCAAATTATATAATTCGTTACCTCAGAACTATAGAGTAATGCAGTTAAGTGTTTTCAAAAAGCAAGTAAAACATAAATTGGTAAAAGCTGAATTATACACATTAAAAGAATTCTCACGAATCATATTCATTTGAAATATTAGTTTATATGTATATGTGTATCATGTAGTTACTGTGTTCTATAATTTTTGTGTTTGTGACTAGATTATATAAATTTTATCAAATTTTATTGTACATGTCTCCACTTTTCAATGACGAATATCAAACACGTTTGTATGTCCCTGATATTAATAAATATTATTATTATTATTATTATTATTAACAACATAATCTTCTAAAATATTTTTTGTAATTTGTGCATTGATTGGGTTTAAATTGTCCTACAATAATCATCAGCATCACACTGGATAAAATAATTCAATTTGAGTTGTGCAGTGATGGCTGAGTGGGGTAACGCAAGTAAATCCTTAGTTTGACGGGTCCCCAGGACGTGTCACGATGCTGGAGATGTTTAGGAAGGGCTTCATTTCGGGCTTCTTGGATACGCCCTGGGTGTAGAAGGAGATTATTATTATTATTATTAATATTATTATTAATTGTACACCAACAGGCGTTAACCCAATTACGGTGTCCAAATGAAAATGGGGAAAAAATATCTTAATACAATATTATTGAAAATTTTACACGTATTAGAATTCCTAGAACGCGACATTTTTTTCAAAGTGTATGTCGATATCTAGCCGGAGTTTCTGGAGTGTGTTATGTGTCTACTGCATCGAGCTTATCGGGGTATTCACTAGGGAATTTGTTCTTGATTTGTCAATGTAAAATAAATCTTTGCTTTTTAATCTAATTGTTTGGGGTCTATATGTAATTTATATCAATAGTTTTGGACTATCGGTAGCACCATTTAGCAAGGATCTCAAAAATAACATTCCCGCTATTTTCCCCCTTCTTTCTAGCGACTTTAAGTCAAACCGGCTCAATAGATTTTCTTGTGAGAAACCACGTTGCTGGTACACACCATCTAAACGAAACGCCAAACACTTCAGGAATCGTCTTTATACTTTTCCAATTGAGTCTATGTTTATTTTTGTTGTAGAATTCCAAACAATAGAGGCATACTCCAATCTGGTGCGAACTAGTGCTTCATACAGACATATGATTGTCTCAAATTTAAAGAAGTCTTTTGATGATCGCATTATAAATCCCAATGTTTTATAAGCTCTGTTCGTAACCGTGACGATATGTGTACTTGTCCAATGTAACGCCCAAATTATTAACAAATTCCTTTTAATTATATCAGAACCAATGGAATAATCAAAACTAAGTAAACCTTTTTTCCTCGAATATGTCATGACCTAACTACGTATATTGTATTTAAGATTTCCTGCAACTTTCGACAATCGTGAATACTTTTTATTTGCCTCAATACTTTTATATCATCCGCGTATAAGAGAAATTCTGTATCGACCTCAGTTTGAATATCATTTATGAAAATGTTAAAAAGTAACGGCCCTAGAACCGAGGCCGGAGGAACACCAGACTTTTGGTGATATAAATACGATATACTCCTCGTATGACCACGATACTGAACATACTGAAATCTGTTCGTCAAATATGAAAAGAAAATTTGGATTAAGGACTGAGACAAACCAAATGCGGTTAGTTTCTCCAGGGGTATTTTATGATCCAGTCTGTTGAATGCTTTTGATTGATAACTCCACGTATATAATATCGATTTAGCCAGACCTATCCAGAACCGTAGAAATAGCTTAAGTGGTGTTTATATATAAGATTTGTTAAAGTCGATCGTCCCTGAACGAAACCATGTTGATTTTCGGTAAATAATCCGCTAATGTGTCGACTTAGTCTTGCATGTGGAACTATTTCAAACACTTTTGAGAAACTGGAGATTAAAGCTATCTGTCGATAATTAGAGATTTCCGACTTACTCCCGTGTTTTAATATTGGCGTAACCCTAGAAACTTTCCAGACATTGGGAAAACAACCAGATTGGATAATAATATTGAAGATTCTGCACAACGGTTAAAACCTCACCACAATCTTTAACAAAAAACAATGGAACTCCATCAGGTCCTGCCGTAAATTTAGGAGTAATGGAGCGAATAGTGGACTCTACTAATAGCGGAGATGGAGATGAGTGAGAATCGAGGAATAATTTCTAAATTGACTTTGACATTTCAATTTTCCATGGTTAAACCAAAAACACAATCGTCGAACTGAAACGGAACGTTTCACGACAAATCAAACCTAGCGCTAATTTCAAAATATCATTTTTAAAGCCTTTTTACAATGAATGAGCGCGATGCAACGATTTGAAAAAAATACGGGCCGATACGCCTCTTTCACCTCCACAAATGGATGACTCCATAATAGCTTTAAAATGATCTGGTAAGATATCTTAATATATATAAATCTCGTGTCACAATGTTGGTCCTCAATGGACTCCTAAACCACTTAACCGATTATAATAAAATTCGCACACCATGTGCAGTTCGATCCAACTTGAGAGATAGGATAGTTTAAATCTCAAATTATAGTCGCAATTTTAATTTATTGCTAATTATTTGTCTGCTATTATTTGACAGTAACAATTATCTGTTAACTCCAAATGCCACCGAAAAAATCTAACCTCAACAACGCGAGCAGCAAAGGGTCACGACGCAAACGTGTTGAAAGAGCTCAGCAATTACCAGAACAAATCGAAACAAGAAATGCAGCTGAAAGAATCAGGACTGCAGAAAGTCGTGCACAAGAATCTCAAGAACAGCGTGACGAACGTCGGCAACAGAATATTACGAGAACAAGAGCGGCACGAGAACGAAACATAGCTACAGTACGAGTACTAGATCGACAAAGGCAACGGATCAGCCGCTCATTAACACGTGCATCATTCGTTCGGCTTGCCTTTGAATATGCACCAGATATTAACTACTCAGCGCATTCAAAAATTGCTATCGGTGGAATGGATAAAGTATGTCAATATTGTCAGGCATTGAAATTTATCAAGTGTAAGAACATTTTAATTAATTGTGTTCAACGTACTTCCCCTTCAAATCTCAATCCAGTGAATTTATATACCAACATCAACATTTTCGTCTTTGTTCGTAAATAATTTCATTGTACTAAAGGGTTATAGTAGTAGAAAGTCAAATAAGGAGATCACCATATTTTTTTACAAATACCATCTGTGTGAAAAAGCATAGTGGACTCCGTGACTGATGTTCTCTTATTGTTCCTCTTAGATTGTTTACTATAATGTAATATAACAAAAACTTTAGCCACAGCAACGCGTGGCCGGGTCAGCTAGTTATAAAATAAAAACTTGTCTAAACTTCAATACGACACCCTGTATTTACGAAAAAGTGCGTCCTAATATACACGATGTATCTAAACTCTTTAAACTAATTTTTAATTTTTGTCTCCAGTGTTGTTCTTTACTTTTTAACTATCTAGTTTGCGACCAGCCTGAGCAGAATACATTAATGATGTAAAAATTTCCTAAAAGATACTCAGAATAAAACAAAAGTGACTACAAATAGTAGACGCAAATCGTCGATCTTCATGCAAACGAGCGTTCCATTTTCTCATTTTTCAGATTAGTAGCTGCTTCGTGATCCTCCTCTGTGGAAACGTAGCCGGTGTTTGCACCCATTATCCTCGCGAAGTGGCACAGCGCAAAGCGTTTTTGGAGACGAGACAGTGCATAGAAGCCCGCCTGAAAATCCAGCGGGAAAACCAGCAACAGGTAGGTTTATTACAATTTATATCGAATCAGGATCATGGTCTCTCGCATTTTCGATTTAATTTATAAATCATGAGGGATCCATCTTGCAAACGAGTTTAATTAAAGGGGACCTTAGAAACCTTAGCGGATCCCTTAACTTGTTAGCAAAGCCCTTTGCCAACCTCACGCACCTACACTTTAATCGCAACGAAATTTGCTCGAATTATCTGCGATTTTGGGGAACTGCAAATTTAGCTTGTCCGTAAGATTGATTCGTGGAAGGAGGTTCAGGCACTTTTTTAGGAAATTGTAAGCGACGTTTCATGAAGTAAGCGCAAGTGGAATTGAAAATTCCGACATCGCTCGCGATCAAATTAGAATTGGTTAACAGTAAATCTAATTTATCTTTCCGAATTCCAAGCAAAGTAAAAAAATAATCAAATTTCCCACACCCTAGTCTATGATAATTGCATTAAATCGTATTCAGGGATGTATTTTCGTAATTCAAAGCGCGAACCTAAAATAACAAAGTTAAAAAGAAAAGCTCAAATTTAGCGTACTCTCCCATTCGTTATTCAAGCAACACTTACCAAGAAAAACCGACATGAAAGTCGAGAGCTTGTTTGAATATTATTTAAAAATACTCAAACGACCGTTTCTACTTTTAGAGTCGCTGCATACAGCGGTTCTGGTTTGTTAACCGGAAATAAGCTCGCCGATACGAAGCTTTCTTTTCCCATCGAATATTGATCACCAATTCTCAAAAGAATACGAGTTTTGTGTTTTTTAATGCAACATTATTAAATTTTCTAGGAGCGTCTTCTGCTGTCGGTCCTTCCCAGGCACGTCGCCATGGAAATGAAAGCGGATATTGCTGGACAACCAAAAGAAGCTCAGTTTCATAAGATATATATTCAAAGACATGAAAACGTCAGGTGAGATGTGCAATATCTTGCTTGTTACGATTATTACGAAAGGCGAAGTTGAAGCAAATTGGATCAGTTTGAACATACGGGGCCACGTGCTTCCTGAAATGGTTTATTCATTTTGTGTCGATTTTCGAGAAATGTAGTCGTATAAGTAAAATTTCTAGTTGAATGACTCGCTCAAAATTTTTACCTGTTTGGAAAAATATCTTCATATAAGGCAATATTAGTTTGATTGATTTTTATTTGTGAGTAGCGTTACAACGTTTACAATACTCAATGTTATCGTTTATATTTTGGAGAAAAATTATTTTTTCTTCCCAAGTCCTCCGCCCTGTAGACTGCCCAAAGCTTCAGAGCTGATTGCAGCGGCTGTAGCCCCTTTCATCCCACCAATGTTGAAGATGACAATCCATGACAACAATAAGTTTATTAAGAATAAGCAAATGTTGCGATTCATTATGACTTAAAAAAGCGAAAAAAAAAATTATTGCTTTAGTGTTGGAAAGAGTCTTACCAAGTAGTCGAGTCTGGCTTAGCAAAGAACCAAGTTAAGTACGTTTAAAAAATTGTTGCAATTTATAGTTGGACGATCATCCCCACTTTTCGAAAAACGTTTGCTGCTAGGTTTATATTAAAAAAAAAGAGTGATAACCGGATACCACAGTCATTACATAATGCTTTTTAGAGTGAAAAACTGCTACAAAAACATAGTTGTATATCTATTTTTTTGATAACAAAAATAATTATACTTAATGAATGCTTTTAATATCGATACTTTAACTAACCAATAGGTAAACTGAAAACCGATATTCTTTCAAGAAATTCGTTTTTGGTTAAGTTTTGCATGTTTTTCTGGTTGTAAAGACTCATAAACAGTGTTTATTACTAATACTAACTCACCTCAATTTTTTTTAAGGAATTGCAATATGTAATATTCAATGTTTCTACTCTTCAAGTTATTTTGATAATAATTATTTTGATAATGTAATGACGTCACTCAAAATTGTATATAGTAGAAGCGTTTTAAATGTGTAAAATAACATAGTCAGGATTTTTGCAGAAAAAATTCTTTGAAATCTTGCAGATGGTTTACAGTTATGATAAGCATGTAAATTTTTAATCAAAATATATTTATTTATTCCCTCCAAAAAATTGATGACGTCAGCTGAAAAGTTTGCCAAACAAATCCTATCTAAAATGTATAAAATATGATGAGTCTGTACTTGTGATTTACCATTCCATTTATATATTTTGTATTAGCATATACAGGGTGACTCAATAAAATTAATGAAAGCGTAAATTTATTTTATTGATTTGATCAGGAACTATAAAACCGAATTCTTTGAAATTTTGGAGATATTTTAAAGTTATCATAGGCATGGTAAATTTTTGATCAAAATGTATTTGCTCATCCCCCCTAAAAAATTGATGACGCCACTCCAAAATTTTGCTGAAAAAATTCTAAATATGCAAAGTATGATGAATCTATACTTGTGATTTATCCCTGCATTAATATTTTTTAGATTTGCTTATACGGGGTGTCTGAAAAATCAATGACTGAGTCAACTTATTTTATTGATTAATCAAGAATTGCAAAACTGAATATGTACTTTGACATCTTGACGTGAAGTTATTGTAAGTATAGTAACTTTTTATTCAAAATGTATCTGTTTATCAATCCCAAAAAATTGATTACGTCATCTCAAAATTTTCCCGAATAAATTCTTCCGAAAATGTGCAAAATATGATCAGACTATACTTGTAACTTATAATTGCATTCATATTTTTTAAATATGCTTATACAGGGTGACTCAAAAAAAGTAATTAACCATTCAATTTGTTATCGATCAAATTAAGAACCCCGATTTTATCGAAAATGTGAGAATAGGCTCGTCAATTTTAGTCATCTGTTTTGAGGCGATAAACTCATTCAAATCAAGCAAATGTCTATGTGACATTCTTCCGATGTAGTAGCGTTTGCCAAAATCAGTTTTATCTGAGCAAGTACTAGCCCCGCCCACCCACCCTCTATTTTCTCAAAGGATATATTATTTGCCAAAATAAGTCTTATGTCAGCAAGTACTAGCCCCACCCACCCGCCCTTTATTTTCTCAGAGGGTATTACTTGCTAGAACTATCCTAGAGAGCTATCCTGTGAGAAAATGGGGGCGGGTGGGCGGGGCTAGTACTTGCTAAGATAAGATTGATTTTGGCAAACGCCATACTCTCGTAGAAAATAGAGGGAGGGTGGGCGAGGCTAGCACATGCTAGGATAAGACTGATGAAAACTTGTTAATTTTAAAAGGTGTTAAATTGCATATTTCTATAGTAACAAGTTAAATTTCTAAATCTGATTGGATATTTACTTTTTAACAACTCAGTCATTTTTCTGAGACACCCTGTGTAAGCAAATTAAAAAAATATTAATTACAGGGTATATTCAGCAATATTCTGAGGTGACGTCGTCAATTTTTAGGGGGATGAGCAAATATATTTTGATAAAAAAATGTATTATGCTATATTTTTCGAAGCTGGTCGATACTTATTATGTACTTAACTTTCTAAAAAGCTCCCTCTTTTTGGAAAGTTCGACCTTTCTCCGATTACCTTCGAGAATTACTATTTAAAATTTTTTTTGTACATTTTAACGTCCACAAGTTATTTTCGGCCTCATTTCTTCGAAAATTTCTATCACTTTTCCAAGCTCACCGAAATAAATATGGACATTTTTTGGATTAAAGAAAGATAATAATTTCAGAGCAAATATTTCAAAAAGTTGCTCCTGGACCATTAACGCGCCATATTTTTCGAATCACCTTGTTGAGACCCATATATTAGATTTTTTTGTGGATTTTCAGACAACTCTTTCAACAACTCTTTGGACTTGAAAAACGAAAACCTTATGCTCCGTGATGACATTGCAAGACTGACGCAAACAATGCGCATCGGTGATAATTATAATGGAAAGAGTGCAGTAAATACTTCCTGCTACGCTGATTCGCTTAAAAATACCTCTTCCGTGGTTATTAGGCCCAAAGACACGAATCAATCTAATACAAAAACTAAAGCTGATATTATTTCTAATATAAATCCGGAAAATTCTGATGACTATGGTATTGCCAAAGTTAAAACTATAAAAAATGGGGGCATAATACTTAAGTGTCATAATCCTGGGGAAATAAAAAAGCTGGCGCAGGAGAATGACTTATCTGATAAATATGAATTTGGTGATCTAAAAACTCCCCAACCGCGCCTGCGCATTGCGGGGATATCAAATGACATTGGTGAACAACAGATTATTACATTTTTAAGGAGACAGAATAAACATATTTTTGCTGATTCTTCTCACTCTAAATTACTTAAACACCTGCCTATAAAAAATAGTAGCGACTACTCCCAGATAATTATTGAGGTTGATATTTCCACATACAAACTTGCGCTCTCCCACGGACACTGCTTGATAGGTTTAGACAGTTGTAATATCTTCGATGCTGTAGATGTGCTGCGATGTTATAAGTGCAATGGCTTTAATCATTCCATCAAAAACTGCAATAAAAAACGTTCTTGTCCAAGATGTGCTGCAGACCATGAGGTGAAAAACTGTTTAGTCCCTGGAGAACAACTAAAATGTGTGAACTGCGCGAACATACAGGAGAAAGAAAATCTTAGTGATAGGGATATCTCGCATGCCTGTTGGGACTATAACTCTTGTCTTATGTATAAACGCATGCTTAACAAACTTAAGCATGACGTCTTTGGAATATGTAACATGTAGCAATCAACTCATCCAACCACCCATTATTTGACCTATTCGTACACAACAGTTGTTAATTCTGCTACAAGCAGTATGACTTTTTCAAGTAATAATACTGATAATTTAACACCTAAGTCAAATTTAATTTTTACTTGCGATTCAAACCAATGTAGCGACCCTCGTTTGTATTACCAAAATTGTCGCGGATTAAATACCAAATGTAAAGATCTGTACACTGGTCTTCTATGTTGTGATTTTGATGTTGTCTGTTTGTCTGAAACTTGGCTCAGTAGTTCCATCCATGATTCTGAGTTTTGCCCCAATATTTTTCATGTCTATAGATCCGACCGTGATTTTCAGAGAATGCAGGTTTGTAGAGGAGGAGGTGTCTTAATAGCCATTCGACGTAAATTTGATGGGTATATGATTGATTTATCGCATTGGGGTTTTAACTCTTTACAGTTTACTGATGCGGTTTGTGTTAAGCTTGTTCTTAATTATATCACGGTATATATATTTGCGATATACATACAACCTAAGGCCTCTGTTGAGGAGTATGAATTATTATTTGATTTACTAGCTAATTTAACTGAAATTTATAATCAAAAAGTAATTTTAGTCGGTGATTTCAATTTATCAGATTTTCGTCCTAACTTGCCTAATTTTACAATGGGGAGTAAAAAATGTTATCACTGTTTAACTTTTTGCAGTTTTACGATTTTCAGCAATATAATAGCGTTCCTAATTCTAATGACAGATACTTAGATCTAATTATTTCTAACTTTAATTGTTCTGTAAAGAAATCTGCTGATAATATACTGCACGAGGATGCTCACCATCCATCCCTTTGCGTTACTGTAAATCTGAAGCAACCAAATATACGATTGATGAAATGTAACAAAATCAATAATATGCAATGGAATTTTAGAAAAGCCGATTTCCCAAAGTTGTATCATTACATTTCTAGTATTGATTGGTCTGATCTTGCTGATAGGTGCGATGTGAACCTGGCGGTTTCCCTCTTTTATAGTAAGATTGTTAGTGCACTTGATTTATATGTACCTAAAACCCGCCGTTTTCGTAACTCCAATTTTCCACCCTGGTTTACTCCGCAAATTATAAAAAAATTAAAACGCAAGTGGCAGCTACTGCGCAAATTTAGACAGAGTAATGATAATGTTATATACAATGAATTTAAAAATATTCGCTCTGAAATTAAGCGAGATATCAAAACTAATTATAATGCTTATGTTAATGATTTGGAGACCAAAATCAAATCAGACCCTAAGAAATTTTGGTCATTTATTAATGATCTGAAAAAGTCGAATGGGCTTCCCTCACAGATGACTTATGGTAAAGATTCACTAGCCAATCCTGAACAAATTGTCAATGCGTTTGCTAAACATTTTAGCTGAACTTTAACAAATCTGCAGTTACGGTTCCTAGTGGATTATACGACCACATGTCCGATTTGACAATCAATTTACCTTCTATTTCAGAGTCTGACGTCTTGAGTGCTTTGAGAAAGATTAAACCAAATTTCATCTCTGGTCATGATAATATTCCGGCTTTTCTTTTGTCTGATTGTGCTTCTGCGTTGTCATATCCTCTAATGATATTATTCAACCTTATTTTAAAAACTTGCACGTCTCCGAACACCTGGAAATTATCAATGGTATCACCTATTTTCAAGAATGGTAAAAAGGATAAAGTCGAGAATTATAGACCCATCTCGCTGGTTTGCAATTGTGCTAAAGTTTTTGAGTTTGTATTACACAAAATTCTTCTTTTTTCCCTGCACAGTAGAATTACCGAATTTCAACATGGTTTCGTGAATGGCCGATCAACGACCACAAATCTGTGTGCATTCACTCAATTTGTTTCTGACGCCTTTGAATCGAAACTGCAGGTGGATGTAGCATACATTGATTTCTCGAAAGCCTTTGATAAATTGAATCATAATATTCTATTAGCTAAACTACTGAATATCGGGCTTTCTGATTCTTTTGTGAAATTAATTCGATCTTACCTATTTAATCGATCTATGATTGTTAAATATCAAGGCTACCAATCCGCCCATGAAGTTGAAGTTTGTTCCGGAGTGCCTCAAGGATCTGTGTTAGGACCTCTCTTTTTTGTGATTTTCATTAATGATATTATTGTGAACATTAAGTCCAACGTTCTTATATATGCTGATGATATCAAAATATTTAAAACGATTTCTGGTATGGAGGACTGCCTTATTCTGCAGAGTGATCTTACTACATTTCTTCACTGGAGCAATAGTAATCTACTTCCTGTCAATTTTGACAAATCCTATGTAATGTCTTACACAAATAAAAATTTCCAGATATTATACAATTACACGTTAAATAACATTTTCTTATCTCGGGTTGATACTTTTAAAGATCTTGGTGTTATCTTTGATTCGAAACTCACTTTTCATAATCACATTAATGCAGTTACTTCAGAAGCTTTCAAATCTCTTGGCTTTATTATACGATGTGGTTATCATCTAACAGATATAAATTGTCTTCGTATCTTATATTTCGCTTACGTGAGGTCAAAACTTGAATACGCTAGTGTCGTCTGGTCTCCTTTTCTAAAAACCTATATTGATTCCTTAGAAAAGATTCAACGGAGATTTTAAAAATATTTACTGTTTAGGGCTGATGGAAATTACCCTCCTAGAGGATTTCCTCATGTATCCTTGCTTCAGATATTTCACATTGATGATTTGAACACCAGACGGGTCAAGGCAGCTTTAAACTTCCTAAAAAAGCTTATTGCTTTTGACATTGATTGTTCTTACCTTCTTAGTAAAATCTGCTTTTATGTCCCACGGTTATCCTCACGTAATCGGTTTTATTTTTATCTTCCCACTCCCCGTATTAATATTGTAAAACATTCGCCTATTTATGAAATGTGCTCATTATATAATCAAAACTTATATGATCTTGAATTATTTCGTTAAGAAAAACTCCTCCTATTTGGGTAAAGTAGTAATCTTATAGCTACTGACATGATTTTAGTTACTTTCATTGCACCTCCATCGTTACTAGTTGGTCTGTCATTGGGTTTGTTTTCAACCTGTTGACCAACTCACACATAATAATAATAATAATAATAATAACACCTCAATTTTCAATATTCTTTTAATAAATCGAAAAATTGAATATTTGAAAAAATCGAAGTCAAAATATAACCATGATTTATCAAAATCAGTCTCATTTAATATTTTTAATACTACGCATATTGCTTAGACAGCTTTGTTCCCGTTGATAATAATGTGCTGTAAATATATTTTTTGCACTCGTGACCTTTTTTGATGACTTTCGCGCATTCACCAGGATGCGGGAGATCGAACTTCCGGCACACGTGCTTTTTATTTTAATGGTAACGTTAAAATAGCTCGGAAACATCAAATTGCTAAGTGTTTAAGACGCCGTCAATCGGTTTAAAAGTTTATTCGTTGCAAAAAATATTGTACACAACACATTCGTGAAGCCTACTTCCCGCATTCCCACAACCGTTCATGCGGTAAGCAGACTTTCCCGAATAGTTTGTGACGGGAAAATTACTTCTTAATCACGCTGTAGATTATCAATACATGCTTAACTTTCAGTTTTTATGTTTGTACATCGAAAGAATTCACCTATTAAGCACAATATCTTTCATTGTACTTCAGGAGCGAGAGAAGTTCTGTCGAAATAACTTTCAATTTTTGTTATGTTTTTGCGTACTAAGTTCGTGTTCTCTTATGACATTATATTATTTATCTAAAGTTGTGTGTTCGGTGATACATCTGATTTGACAAATAATCGATCAAAACGGTCAAAAAATAACTTGAGAACTTAATAAACGGTAATAAACGAAGATCCTTTAACGTTCGTACCTTCTATTTTAATCATTACGAACGCTTGAGTTTTATTATTGAAGGTCGTTCTTTAAAAAAAGAGTAATTATCTCATATCAAAATAATTATTTCATGATTATAGGGTTTAACAATGTGTGGAAAGAAATAATTGTATATTATCATTTCTTTCGATAACAAAAGAATTTACACTTAACGAATACTTATTTATCGCGCGTAGTGGAACTATAGGTACGTCATTCCATTTTAGTTTACATATATAGGGTGAGTCACTAAACGCGCGTTCCTCCATATCTCATTATCAGAAATAGTAAAAAATCGAAGGCCAAAATTGTACGGTTTTTTAGGAATACACTCTAAAATTATTTTTTTGATTCACCTATTCTTAGGCTTTACACCCACAGTTCATTTTTGAAGTTATAATGCGACGTTGTCAGGTTATTCCAATTTTCTTGAATTTCTTTGCCAATGGAAGGATTCAGAAAAAAATCACAGTATGGTTATTTTTAAAATCTGTTACGTTTTCTAAAAAAAATAAAGAAAGCTAGGCGCTCTGTTGTGCCGTAAATGAGATTAAATTGTCATATACAGAGTGTTTACAAAATGTTTTAATTATTACAAATTTTCAAATATCGATAGGTCAGTTTTTCAAATAGAACACAATATTTTATTACTGCATCTTATTTTATTTTTTGTTCTCTTTTTTTTTGCGGAGTATTGTCTATATTTAAATTTGATAGTTCCTGCGATTTTGATATATAATTATTTATAATCAGCTCTGGAGTACATTCCTTAAGTACGCTAATCATATCTTATTTCTACATCAAAAACCCTCCAAAAACGAAAAAATTTAAACATGAAAACTTTACAATTTTGAAGTAATAAAATTATAGTTTTAAGCAAAGTTAAGTTTTTGTGGAATGACAACACAAAGAATTAATTAGAATAATTACACTGCAGTGCAATAAAAAAGGCCACGTTTAATATTAAGTGAATGCGTAAATTTAATTTAATTTGTTTATAAATATTTTTAATCGTCCTGCTGGGTTTAATGTGAACACTGTTAAATGTTGAATTACTATAATTAAATAAAACATACTTTTAATTAAATAACGCACCTTCCAGAATTTTAAGAATGTTTAGCATTTAACAACCGTGGCTGTCCGTTCCAACGCGACCCATTCCCTTTACATTACATTAATAGGTATAATTTTTTCTAAGATTCTTGTCTAATCATCTCCACCAACAATTTGGTGATATTCAATTCAATATTCAAAATTTGTTTTAGTAGACCACCTGTAAATTTGATGAAACAACATACTTCTATACTTGTGGTTCATGAATCGGCCGTGATTTTTTGTACTAGGCATATCGCGAGCGCACCATCCTCAAAAATTGTCATTCTAATCATTAATTAAACGATAAAAGTAGCAACTAAATTTAGTGACGTCAGACCCCATCAAGGATTTTAAACGAAGAATTTACATACGATTAAAATGTTAAGTCCCCACTAGTTAACCTAAAATGAGTTCATCAAAATTACATGGTGGACCGAATCTACCTGTCACATAACATCACGAAATATCTAAAATAAACAGAAAAATACATATTAAATACTGTCGAAACCATGTTGTTTTGGTACACTCTTCGCGCGAAAAGAAATGTTCAATATTCAAGTCGTAGAACACATAAATGATAGATAACACAATATAAGAATTAAATATCTCTTCCTGGAAGCGTGCTTTCCATATCTTACAAATAACCAAGGATGAAATTGTACAACACTCTTAAAATGGAAGTTTAAGAGAAATATATATTCTTGTAATGCTTGTAATAGAACCGGTAGTGCTAATAGAAAATAAATGTTCAATATCCAAGTCGTACCTAGAACAGATAAATGATAGATAACACAATATAAGAATTAAATATCTCTTCCTGGAAGCGTGTTTTCCATATCTTACAAATAACGAAGGATGAAATTGTACAACACTCTTAAAATGGAAGTTTAACACAAATATATATTCTTGTAATGCTTGTAATAACACCGGTAGTGCTAATATTGCAAACGTGAAAATACTAAAACATCAGAGACTCAGATTAGACAAACCAACGTTTCAGAAACTTCAGAAGCCGACATTCATTAGTTTCCAGGTCTTTAAAGACTCTAAAAGTTCAGCAAAACCGTCTCCGGTTGTCTAGGAAAGATAAAAAGTTTGCCGTCGTTATCCCAAGACAGTATTAAAGTCTAAAAAGACCTCTGTTATGTTTAACTCTGGTGTCACTTAATTTATTTTTTCTGATTTGCAGCATACTTTTCGCCGACATTTGCGGTTTTACAACTTTATCCGACCAATGCACCGCCGAGGAATTGGTGAGAATCCTCAACGAGCTGTTCGCAAGGCAAGTATCCTTTAAATCTGGAATTCGTCGAAATCAAACAACCCCGTCGCACGACCAGATTACAAATTATCTCCCTTTATATTTTAACGGTATTTATACACGCTCTCGTGCCTTGAATTATGAATGAAACAGAAAAATTGTATAAAACAACAGCTGCGCCGACAGCGACAGCATCAAAGAGGAGAGCTTACTTCGGGAGCTAAATTTAGAACAAAGAATTCTCCATCTACCTGAAAATTAATCATTACGCGAAAAATGCAGGACGGTTATTTTATAGTACATCTCGGCTTAAACAGGGCTTTTAATTGCAATTTAACGACGGCGGTGGGGAAAGTTAATCTCGACTCGAAGATGCTAATTAAGAGTAATTTGCAGGAAGAGTTTACTTAACGAAGGACGTTGATTTTTGCAGGTTCGATCGGTTAGCGGCAGAACACCACTGCTTGAGGATCAAGTTGCTGGGCGACTGTTACTACTGCGTTTCCGGTTTACCGGAAGCCAGACCGGATCATGCTCATTGTACGGTAGAAATGGGGTTGGATATGATCGACGCCATAGCGTAAGTAATGAGTCTAGTTTCGCTTCATTTCCCGCAGAAAGGGTGATGCTGCTAAAGGGAGCATTCCGAATTTTTCATTTTCGCTTCTAGTATTGGATATAAATAAAAACAAGGCAAAATATAGAAAATGTAGGGCGCCTTTAATAAAATGTGGCGTCGGGGAAACATCGTTTACAACTTTTGTCAGTTTTCGAAACTTTTCTTACGCTGGCAAAATGCTCTTAAATGTTATTTAAATTTTATAAAATAACATACTTTTCTATTTGTAGTTTATGAATCCGCCTTGAAGTTTTACACACAAACATCAAAAATTTACTTTTTTTCCTCTTGTACATTTTGTTTTCGTTTTATATGCATTTCCAACAAAATACTTATTTACTACTGCTCAGAGTTGATACGTTATAGTCAAAGAATGTTTACACTCTGTGAACATTATTGATTTAAAAATCACTGTTCTGTCCCCGTCATCGTAAAATGCGCTCGTAAAAATATAACCTTTCGACCCCAAGAACCCATAAACGTTTTAATAATGCCATTCACGCTGCATTGTGTGCAGACTGTGTAATCATAACTTCACACTCACCTTTATTTTATGGTGATGAATATTTGGGGTTGAAACAAATAAATGTTGGCGACAAAATTGTCGAGGATTAATTTTTGCTTGTTTTTAACATACAATCTGTTTGTAACAATTTGGACAAATGCCTATAATTTGATTTTGTCTTATTTGAACTGAGTTCAGTGTCGAAAACAACTAACTAGTTTAACAATAATTCTAGGCTCTATTGATAGAGCTTGTGCAAACCTAGATTAACAGTTAGAGTAAATACTATTTGACGCGGGACAATTATGTGATCCAATCGCATTTCGATTACATTTTAACGAACTAGTAATGTAATAAATAATACTAAGTCACAATGAATTGTCAGTTCTGTTCTGGTAGATACTACCAGAACAAACTAAAACACACAAGCACTATTTCCATTCAATATAATTTTGTTTCAGCATGTAATAACAGAAACTGTCGTAGGTAAATAACTTGCCACTCAATTTCTCCTGAAATAAATTACAAAAAAAGTTCTTGCTGTGACAGCTTTATTTCAGTTCTGACAAGACAACGTGTTCGTGAAATAATAACGCCAACACCGACTACAATTTCTCAATATATATTGTCTAGAAAGTATAAATTATTCTTGTAACACATGAACGCTTTTTAGCTGGTGACATTTTTTTATTTGAGACACAATTTGGTAATTGAAAAATGTATGTGAAATCAGAAAAATTCGGCCTTGCACAAATAAATTGGGTTTGTGTTTATTGTCTCTAATAAGTCCTAATGTTCTGAAATACGTTTTTTCTCTTCTTTTGATTTCAATTCTTTTATAAAATATTACTGAAGACTTAGAAGAGTCGTCGATATATACAGGGTGTTTCGAAAAAAGTGGACCAAATCTTGGCGTTAACTTCTGTCGTTACTATTTAAAAAAATGGTTTAAATAACATTTTTCCCAAAAATGGTGCTCTAATTATTATTCGTGAAAAAAATTTTGTTTGCTTAATTTGTTTTCGAAATGCAATGCCTACTTGTTTTTTCTTTAAGGTACTACCATATAATTAATGCATTTTTGAATAGAGCCTTTTTTCTGAATTCATTGATATAGCACAATAATACTTTCTTTGTGATTGAAATGACATTTCCTACAAAAGATGCTCAAAATGCTTTATTTCCTGGCAGTTAGAAAGACGCTGAATAAAATTTTGTAGTGAGTTAATAAGAATTTTTGGACAAATGCTCGCAATTTTGTTACGTATGCGTTCCTGTAAGATTTCAATGTGAATCGGTTTTTTGATATTAACGCGATTCTTCAAACAGCCTCACAAAAAAAAATCAAGTGGTGTCAAATCCGGTAAGCTGGCAGGCCACTCAATAGGATCCCTTGGGCCTATCCATCTGCCAGGAGAAGTTTTATTTAAGTAACGTAGCACTTAACGTTCAAAATGGGTTGGAGCACCGTCTTGTTGAAACCAAATATTTTCTGGTGGTAACTCCTGGTTTTGGTAATTAGGAAACAATTCTCTACGTCTACGCACTATATGTTCCCGCAGCAGCCTTAAGTATCCCTCAGAATTTAAATTCCCATTAATAAAAAATCCGGGACGGCAGACAGACAGACAGACGGACAGACGGACAGACAGACGGAAACGGGAGACCCATTTCTTCGTCCTCTAGGGATCATGATAGATCGAGATATTGCAAAAGTAGAGAGTCGGCCGACGGACTCGATTACAATACTTCCTTTGCTTACGCTCGGGAAGTAAAAAATGATCAATTACATGGTAACCGCATCAAACATTCAGTTTTTCTGGACGCTATGTGTGGATTTGCTCCATCCAGTATGGATTTGTGTCAGACCAGTACCTGCAGTACCTGATCATGACTCTTTAACCAAAACGTAGATTCGTCAGACAACAAAATCCTGTTGATAAAATTTCCGTCCTGTTGTATTCTGTTCATAACTATTTCGGTAAGTTCAACTCTACGATCAAAAACATCTTCGTTTAGAATTTGTGCCAAATGGATTTTCTTTCCTTTTTCATTATCGTTTGGATTGATTTTGTACTGTGATTCAGCGCTAATTGTTGCACTGACGTTTTGCGATCATCGATCGGAACACCATCCTAAAGATGTGGACCTTCTTACTATAAACCTATAATATATAAAATACTTTACCCGAGGAGAGCCAGATGTTTATATTATTAAGAATTGAATTGACGGGTCAGCAGGTATGTTTTGAGAAAAAAAAAAGTCTCTTTAATTCGGGGTTGTATGGTGGTAAACAAATAACAAAATGTACATTGTCGCTCTCTAGTTTATCAAGAACGTAATTTTTATGTAATGGTTTATGCTGTTTAATTTTCTCATACAACTAGGGATTTGTTTCGTTTCCTCCAAAAAGTATTCCAGGTTGATTCAACCATTATTGCACATCTGCTTCCTTTGTTGCAGAAGTTGGAGTGTGTTGGATTTTTATGTTGAAAAAGATGCAGTATCGATCATAAGAACAGAATCTGATTCCATATTTAGCAGTAATTTATCTTCAGCCCATTTCTGTAGTTTTGGTGGTTCATCTAGTCATAATAGTCACCCGATTTTCATCAACGCAGTGCTCCATTACTAGGTGTTGACCTTTTCCTATTGGTGCGTTTACACAGTTATTACTTCGACCATACTATCCATAAGGGCTGCTGTGAATTGGGCAGATATTATTCATTGTTTCTTCCTTTTTGGCGGTATTTTTTAATCTATCGCAAAAAGCGACTTCGTTTGTCTCTAAGATTTTTTTCCATTAAAATTAGCCCTTTGCTTTTTTTTGACTGTAGAATCCCATGTTTCTTTTTCCTTCAAATGGAGCTCATCTTGCTTCACTTCTTTAAAAATTGGGCATGGATGGTTTTCGTTTCTGAATAAACGGAAATTGTTTACTTTACGAATGATTTTTTCGTCAGACTGGATGACACTACTTTTTGGAGTAGGTTTTGCAATGGTTTTCCTAAGAAAGTGGAATTGCTTTATTTCCGATGGCATTTGATAGATGATTTCACACGCTTGACTGTGCACCACTTTCTTACCATTTTATATTTCTACAAAGACAAAAAATGCCCAGAAAAATACCTCTCAGACAAAATTTAATAATCCTCATCTGCTAGAGTAGAATCCGAACAGAGTTAAACAGAAATAAAATTCTATTCAATAACGAAAGAAAATACAGGCGAAACAGAATACTACGAAAAAACTGGGAGATGTAACGACCATAAAATCTTGAACCTGCTCTAATAGAAGGAAAGAAACACACTGGCAGATTTTGGGGAGATAATTAACAAAAAATAGTAGTGGAAACTAAAAACTCTTCTGTAAGGCGATGAGAAAAGGAAATTGGACATAGTCCATATACTAAAGACAAAAAGTGATAAAACACTATTAGTTGAGACAGAAATAAGGAGTACACGAAAATAGTATTTCCAGGAACCACTTGAAGGAGAGGAAGCCTCGAGCGTACAACAGCAAAGACAATTTGTAGGAAATTTAGAGGACGAAGAAGGAGAAATAACTAATCCAGAATTATAAATAATGTTACGTTGTCCGGGTGATTGAAAATTGGCGTGGGTAAAACTCAACAATTTATTTCTTAATAACTCGTACTTATTTACACGGCTAACAATTGCAGCGATTATGTACAAACTATTTCCGGCGCAACTGGGCTGGCTCTTCTTAACATTCGCTGGACTCGTGGTTCGCCTGGTTCCCGACGGTGGCCTTTATTTAAATCCCTGCATTTCTTTAGATGGATCCCGAACGCCGCTTCTAGGTTTTTACTAAACCCCGCAATCGAGACTTCCGGTAGCCGGCTCCAGACTTGTCTTTATGTGAACGCCGCGTTCGCGTTCGATGAGTCATCACCGGCGTACCACCAGAAAGCTCTCGATGGCCATAGGCGTCGTACTGGGGCGGCGTAAGGGTGTATTTTGTAACAATAATATCAGCAAGTTAAAGATGGGGGAAACACCTGGACAGGGTTTAATCACCTCAGAAATGTCAAAAATTTGGCCCAAAAAGGGAAAGAAACTACTACTCAAAATATCGAACAATGCAAGAATAGAAGAAACGGTACTAAAAGACTGGGAATTAACGTTTATATTACGAATTCACATGGGCCCAACAACAAATTGGAATACGTAATTATCGTGGAATATTCCAATAAGTGCTTTCAGAATCAAAAACGTACAAGACCACATATTTTATTTACTTTAAAACAAATTATTAACAGCATAATTGAAAGAAAACAAAATGAATACTTCGATCTAGAAAAGAGCTTTTATTTGTTCCTTACTTCTAAACATCAGTTTACCAAGTCACTGTATTCAACATGAAAATGTCGCTTAACTGGCTATAGCCTGTAAAAATTTTATTGCCCTGCTCGTGCTCATACAGCCATGTATTTTAAACATTTTAAACTATTATAAGTTGAAATGACAGCCAAAATTGATTCAAGCAAATTTTCACTCACAATTGTTGCTTCCTCAGGAATATAGCTTGCGCCACACTCAATTCAATACATCGAAAACGATAAATCGAAAAATCTGAATGGCAGAACTAGACAACACAATAAGTGCTATGCTGACGTGAGTTTCCAAGGCAATACGTCCAAAGCTCATACGATGTTTCTTCAAATATTGGACCTTCTAGAGTTTTTAATAGTTTATAATACTTACTTACAAGTGAGAAACAAATAAAATATTGAACAACACACGCAAGGTAACGGGTTTTTACTGGCTCCAGAAGTTGACTGGCTCGCCTGCGGCTCGCCAGTCATATCCTTCTGTCCTCCAGTAAAAACCCTTTTACCATGCTAGTAATGTTAATAGCTATTACCGAACACCACGGATTAAAATATGGGAAAGTCTGCGACGACGAGGTGTGGACATGAAGCAAATTATTGAAAGTCTCTATGTTAACAACGTGAACTGCGTAATTAGCAAGAACATGAGACCCGAACATTTTTCAACAAAATAAGGATTAAGACAAGGCGATGATAGGAGCTCGTGGTTGTCTATAGTATACATGCTTGAGATAATAACAAAATGTAATGAAAAAATCTAAAAAAATATTCCTTGGACATCGAAACCTACGAAGAGTTGAAATTTCGGATTGTTGCCTTCGCAAACTGCTAGAAGTAAGAAGGACTTAATGGAATCAATAAAAGAAAAACGGTCCATTACTTCGACAGAACTTCCCTCTGTCTCAAGAGACAGTACAGTCCAACAAATTCCGCTTCTTTGAAAAATTATAAAAACTGTTTGTTTTCTGATGACTTTTATATATTAAAAAACCAGTAGTGTAAATGACACCTCGAACCACCTGCGCCGCGGGGGCGCAAATTCCAAGGAGGTGCCGTCCGCAGACGTAGGGACAATATGAAAAATATTCAAAGCAAATAACCAACGGAAAAGGGTGTATTACTCTAACTTATCAGTGCAGATGCTTAACTTCGATTGTTTATGTTTATACGTTGAAAGAATGTCAGGTAGGAATTTGTTTAGTTTGAATGAGTTATATCCTCAAAACAGAGGACTAAAATTATTAATTAAGCCACAATGGAACAAAATGTTTTAAATATAATTATTACTATTCTTATTTGATAATAAACAAATAAAAACGTGAGTATTCTCACATTTTCTAGAAAATGAGGCTCTTAATTTGATCAATATTTCGTTTCGACAGGCAGACAGACGGAAACGGGAGACTACTTTTTTCGTACTGTAGGGATCATGAAACGTCGAGACAACATAAAAGTGGCAATTCGTCCGATGGACTCAGTTACGTATCATTCGAGTTACTGAGCAACGAAAATTACTCTTTTTCAATTTGAATAATGATCACATTGCACCTAGGATGCATGTCTCTTAATACCCACAATATCTTTTTAAGTCAGTAGCGTACATCCTATTTTGACCAATTTTATCTCAACAACTTTCATTACAACTTTTTTTCTTACACTACTTTTTCTACTTGTCGATACAAATCACCGATCTTTTTTGTTGGCGGATTTTAAACACCATGTATACCGGGTGTCCCAGCGTACCTGTTCCACTCAAATATCTCAATTATTTTAAAACACAAAAATTTGAACTTAGGCATGTTCAATATACGTAGTATACCGGAAATGATATCAACTAAATCTAAAAGAGTACATTTTGTAGTACGATAAACTAGGTATAACAGCATTCATCTAGAAGCTTTAAAACGCTGATTGTGAATTTAAAAAAAAAGACGGTGGCGTTTCTCAAGCAACGTTTTCTCTTATTTTCGTGTTCTAACTTATCACTTTTAGATTAAAATAAATAAAATATTGTAGTGTCAAAATATGAAAAACGAAAGATTCAGCAATACCAAAAAGTTAGATATGATACTTTTTTACGGAGAGTGTATGCGAAATAGAAAACATTCCAGAACATTATACGAAGAAAGATTTCCGAAGAGACAACAACCAAGTTGTATGTATTTTTCAAGATTGCAAAAAAAAAATAGAAAAATCTGGGTCTTATCGCACTTTTTAGTCCTGGTTTTGCGCAAAATCAGATCAGATATATTATATATTATTATACTAAAAAAATTTTTATTCAGAATATTATAATTAATATATTTCAGATTATTTTTATGAACACGTTATTAAAATAATGACTGCTTAATTTTTTTTCTGTAAAAGTGAAAATATACAAATTCGAATTTCGCGAGAATTTATAAAAAAATTGCTACTTTCTTAAATGAAATATTTAAATAAGCTTATTTGCATTTAATTTTATGTAAATTTCGACCAACAAACTCACTTTGGATGTATTAATAATGAAAAGTTATAAATATGAATAACATATTTTATCATAACATATCGAACAAACATCAGTTGTTTCTGTAGTTGCGGCTGAGTATGATGAATTTTTCACTTTTATATTTCAGAAAATATTAAATCAGGAATTCTGCTTCAGATGACATGGAATTAATTGTGTGTGCTTGAGTGTTCTCTTAGCTTCTTTTGGGAAATTATTAAACAATTTTAAACCATCTTAAAATTGTCTGTCCCGTGGAATGTACATTCTTGCATGGAATCCCAACATCGGAATTAAGAAATTCCTGCTGAAGCGAATGACAAAATTATTTTCTTAATTTATAATCTAGAAAAAACGTCAATGTAACAATCGTAAAAATTTTAATAAATGACAAACACAGTGACTGTTTTATAAACTTATAGATTTTAATTAGCACTTTCATAGTTGTTCCTATAATATATATGTTCTCAATTTCATTGCAGTGGAAGAGTCCTTACGGAAAATAATTCTAATTAAAAACCACGTTCTCTTTTTTACTTCCAACCTAAACCTGTTGTTAAGCTAAGTGCACCAACGAAAAATAGGTCAAGTGACCACTCCACCAAAGTCGGTTATTAGGACTGGCGCATTTTAATAATTACTCACTTGACATGATTGTTTCCCTGGTTCTGACGATATTTTTGCGTTAACGAGGTGCACTAAACTTGAGATATAGAAAAGGTAAGCCCTTTATGTAAAGGTCAAGACTATATTTCAGAAGCAACGTTATGCTAACGGTGGTTTTAAACCCCATAATAAAGCACAAAGTACCATCAAATTTTTACGGCCCCTTAAATAAATGGACTTTTTATTAAAATTATTAACGTACGATTATTCAGTTTTATCTAAAATACCCTAAAATTAAAAAGCTTTCAAATTTTCTCCCCAAAGTGTTTCAGATGTGTCCATTACGCCCCCTTCTCCTCTATTCTCAGCGTTGTGGCGCAGCCCAAAGCATTTCTACTTTGCATATTTATAAGGGAATTAAGCATGGAAAATAAAGCACGTCGTAAACTACATCAAGAATCATATGTCACGGTTGGTAATTCAATTTAGTCTGCACAACGAAAAAATCGGGTGCGAGAAACGTTTTCCATTCATGCAAAAACACGAAAAATATCTATTGCGAGTCTAAGAAAAGGGAAACGAAATCGGTTTAAAATATACAGAAAAGCTTCAGAGTCTACACGCACTTATGCCAGGTTTTAAGATTCACGGATTATCGTTGAATGCGCCTCAAAAAGTTTTACAATTTAAATGTGCAAAACACGTTCTCTTACAAATATGAATCTGAAGTGGTCGTGTTGGTGTTGAAGGGAGTATTTTAAAATGAGTTTGTTCTCTGGAGTATGAAGCGCGAATGTGAGTCGTTTGGAAAATTAATGAAGCTATTATGGAAAGCTTTACATTGTGAATACAGTAAATGTTAAAAGTGTTTGTATGTCTGGTTGTAAGCTATTAAACCAGTAGTTTTACACTTTCAACGTCGCTTTTTATATTAAATTTTAATTGAATTGAATGAAATGATTCGCATTTTTGAATTGGGTTTTGGAGTATTTCATCATATTCAGATTTAATTTAAATACTATGAACATTTTTTATTGCCAAAGAAAACTCTAACAAAGGCAGTGACAAAAACAATCTAGGCACTTAGATAACTCTCCTCGTGAAGCAGATTTTTTTAAATTAAAACGAGCAACCCTTGTCTCTGTGACTTTTACTAACCTTCTCATTTTTCTGTTCCAGTTTAGTACGTGAAGTGATGTCCGTGAATGTTAACATGCGTGTTGGAATTCATACCGGACGCGTCCATTGCGGGGTGTTGGGTCTTCGCAAGTGGCAATTTGACGTGTGGTCAAACGACGTCACTTTAGCCAATCACATGGAAAGCGGCGGCATTCCGGGGTGAGGATTCTTTTTTGTATTTCTGTCGCGCACAAAATCAAACCGCAACCGCTTACCTAACGCCCTTTCTTTCCAGACGCGTTCATATTACCAAAGAGACGCTGAAATGTCTGGGTAACGATTATGTCGTCGAACCTGGAAACGGCGGTGACCGCAACTCCTATCTCAAAGACCATAACATCGACACGTACTTAATTGTTGCGCCGTCGTATAGAGGGGTAAGTGCGTTTGACTAGAATGTTTAGTCGTGTGGTTAATGACTGTGAATGTGTGTATTTATTTTAAAGTTAAGTCAGCCGAATTAACAATAATAATAATAAATGAAAATTATTAACAATTATTGTGTCGAAATTTAACTAATACAGAAAAAACTCAATTAAAAACTTGTCAAAACTTTGGTCTCGAGAATTTGAATTTAACAAACCTACCCAATGGATTCCTCATATGTCCAATAAACTATCCACAGTTATACTAATGAACGATAATCAAATAACATTTGACGAACTATGAATGCCATCAGTAGAACACAAAACTGGAAATCACCAGAGCTAGACAAAGTACATAATTCACACTTATTTACTAAAACACTTAAACAAGTTCCTTCTTAAATCATACACATTTTCAACATTTTTATGTCATGGTGTAACATATCTAAAACCTAAAGATAATGACAGAACAAATCCATCAAAATACAGACCTATCACATGTTTACCTAAAATTTACAAAATACTAACCTCATGCATAACACAAAAAATCTATCAACACTGTTTTAAATCCAATATCATCAACGAAGAACAAAAAGGACATATTAAAGGATCTTTTGGTTGCAAACAGCAATTAATCATAGATTCCATAATCTGTGAACAAGCTAGGAAAGAAAACAGAAACATATATACTGCTTTTATCGATTATAAGAAAGCTTATGATTCAATCCCGCATTCGTGGCTATGCAAAATTCTGGAATTATACAAAATTGATCCTAAAATATACGCTCTTCTCAAATATTCAATGGACTTTTTGAAAACCACCCTTCAAATACCCCTAAATGATCAAACAATTCAATTAGACCCAATAATGATCAGAGGAGGAATTTTTCAAGGCGATTCCTTCAGTCCGCAGTTATGGTTTCAATATAAGAATTAACACCAAAACAGAAAGTAGTGTTACGTTTGACGGGCGAATAATTAATCGGGCGTAGGTAAAACTCAACAATTTATTTCTTAATAACTGGTATTCACACGACTAACTATTGCAACGATTATGTACAGAAATTATTCGGGCGAATTTCACTGGACGATCTTGGCGTACTTCACTAGCTGAATAATCCATTAAACCCATATTTCTCCGATCGAGATCTTTCACGAACATCCATCGCAACTCCGCTTCGAGACTTCCGGTAACCGACTCCAGACTAGTTTTTATGCGCCCGCCGCTCGGCCGTCGATGAGTCACCGTTTATCAACACACATACTAGAAAAACTCATAGACGTCGCACCGGGGCGGTTATGGGTTTATTTCGTAACACTGCCCCCTCCTTAGTTCTGATCGTCCCGATCAGAAACATCAACGGCGCTGCTGTGGTATTCCATGAGGCGGCCTAAGTGAACAATTTTAATTTTCCTCTTCGGCCCTCGTCGTCGGATTCTGTAGACTACATCGTTGATCCTCGTCACGACAGTATAGGGACCTTTCCAGTCTGATGACAACTTCTGGCAACGACCATTCCGTCTTCGGGGGTTATAAAGCCATACAAATCTCGCGCCTGGAACCCTACTGAGTTGTTCTGAAGGTCGTAACGTGCGTTCATTCTACCGGTCGCCACTCTATCCTGGTAGTGCAGCATTTCGTAAACGCTCGGCAGCTTCTCCTTTAAGCCATCGTCGTAACCTTTGACCTTCTTCATGTCCTTGTTCCTTTCTTCGGGTACTGGGAGGGGACCCGCTACTTCTCTTGCCGACGTGTGCTTGGATCGGCCCTCTCAACGGATCCAGTAAAATCTCTCCCTAATTTTGGAAAGCGTCTTGTTGATCCCAAAATGAGCACCAGAACTCCCATTGTGCATCTCTCGAAGTGCTTCCTCGATTTTAGTGGCCGGGACCACCACCTGCATAGTGACATGTCTTCCATCCGGACTTTCCAGGCTCGCTTAAGCAATCCGTTCTCGACTCACAAGGAGTCCCATTGAGCCCATAACGCCTTGAAAGAAGGTGACTCGCCTGATATTTCCGACCAGCCAGGTCGTTCCATCCCATCTTCTTTCCATCTGAGGAGCGACCCAATATCCTTGTCTTCCTCCTGCCCCTTTCTACATCGAGCGGTAGTCCGTTCATCATCTTCTACGACTGCTTTCTTCCTGCGGTTGAACAGTGCTTTCGGCTGCTCAACCTCGTCGCAGTGTTTGCAGTTCTGATAACCGACCAATCTTGCAGACTTCGCTTCAATACAACGCTGATTCAGCTTGAACTCTTTATTTCCAAAACGTAGAACTTTCCTCACCGGATCAGTTGTCAATCCATGGCGGCTAATCAAATCCATTCCCAAAATGAAATCATCTTCCATGCTAGCCACGAGAGCCCGATGTCTTATTGTCAGCTGACTAACACAGATTTCTACCTCTGCTTCGCCCATGATCGGCGTCGACTCTCCAGTTACAGTTTTCAATCTTATCGTTTCGGGTATAGGTTCTACATCTTCAGCTCTCACGAGTCCTTTACGTACAATTGATATCTCAGCGCCAGTATCGATGGTGATTGCTGCTGGATTTTCATAAATCTTCCCTGGTACCGTTGAACCACTACCTCTGGTGAAACTTCTTATTTTTACTTCGCTGGCGGCCTTATTCTCACCAGTGAACCCATTCCCCACAGTACTAGCTCCTTTTACATCTCGGTGAAATCTCCGTTGTGTGCTTCTTCATGGAGCTGGTAATCGAGCACGACAATCAGGTTTGAGACGTCCCTAGCGCCCATCGTTATAGCATCCCATGCTTTGCTTACGAGATAAATCATTCTTCAGTCTTCGAATAAGGTCATTTGTTTGCGGCAGCACTTTTTCCAGCAGCTTCTCCATCTTGTTGTTTTCTTCTTTCTGTCGTTCCGCTACGCTGACTTTGTAGCACGTTCTTGAGGAGCCGTACACCGCCTCCACTTCCAGCGCACGAATCAAGGCTTCAGATGATGTCTGATACGTTGATGGTTGTAAGACCTTCTTAACTTCAACGTCGCAAATGCCATCTACGAAGGTTTCTGTCGCAAGCCTCTCCTGAATAGTCGATGGTGCTTCGGGGTATGCTAGACGTACCATTTTGTTCACATCTGCTGCAAATTCTTGTAGAGATTCTCCAACTTTCTGTGTTCTTGTTCGTAGTCGGGAGGCAAAAACTCGCTTTAGATGTTTATCTCCAAATCGCAGTTCTAGAGCAGTAGTTAAGGCATTTGCTTATATCTTCGTCAGATAAGATTTAAAGTATCTCCAGCGCTGCACCTCGCAGAGCTATCACCAAGGCTGTAGCTTTCTGTTCTTCTTCCCAAAGATTCGCCGTCGCTGCTACCTCGAACTGTATCTTATACGATCGTTGTGGAAGCCGACGTCACGTTACATGAACCAGTGGTAGCTGCATTTTTCATTATCTTTTCAAATTTCTTCATTTTGTCTTCTATTCTATCTTTTCTCATTTTCATTCGATCTTTTACAAATTTAATTCGATCTTACATACGTTCCTGCACTGATTTCTCGACTTCTTTTATTTTTTCGTCCATTGTTTCCATCCGTGCGTCCATTTTTGCCATGCTTGCCCTAATTTTCTCGTTCATTTCCGCAAGCATCGCCGCCATCTGTTTTAGTTGTTCTTCCAACATCGCTGCAGTTTGAGTTCTCGTCTCGACCGGCATAAATTCTTCCAAATTCTTGTTCGATCTCCCCAGACGTCGTCGTAAAACCGGTTATTAATCTTCAAATCCCACTACTGACACCAGTGTTACGTTTGACGGGCGAATAATTAGTCGGGCGTAGGTAAAACTGAACAATTTATTTCTTAATAACTGGTATTTACACGACTAACTATGGCAACGATTATGTACAGAAATTATTCCGGCGAATTTCACTGGACGTTCTTGGCTGACTTCACTAGCTGAATAATCCATTCCCGACGGTCGCCTCTATTTAAACCCATACTTCTCCGATCGAGATCTTTTACGACCATCCATCGCGACTCCGCTTTGTCTTTATGCGCCCGCCGCTCGGCCGTCGATGAGTCACCGTTCATCGACACACATACTAGAAAAACTCCTAGGCTTTGCACCGAGGAGGGTTTATTTCGTAACAGTAGATTAAGTCACTTGCTATACATATATGGACAATATAAAAATATAAGCAAGTACGAAACATCAATTGACAATCTAATAAATCTAACGCAACAGTTTTCTGCTAACATTGGGATGAGCAATGTTAGACTCAAGAATCAGAATTAGGTGTTCAACAACAAATACCATATATAACCCAGAATAACGAAATAATCGAAGCCCAAGAACGAAACGAAACATCGAAATATCAGGGCTTTCATCAGTCTTCCCATATTGATCATACCAAAACTAAAACAAAACTGAAACAACCAATATCTGGCAAGATTAAAATTAATTTAGAGGGCAGATTTAAACGCAAAGAATTTAATAAAAGGAGTAAATACATTCTGTTTTCGACTGCTAACATTTTCTTTTGGAATAATTAGATGGTCAAAAATTGATTTGGAATATTTAAATATCGCAACAAGAAAAACATTCACACAATATAGAAGACATCATCCGAAGAGATTTTCATTACCAAGACAGAACGGAGGAAGGGGATTCCAGAACTTAGAAAATTTATACAGGAGACAAGTTTCGGAATTGAAGAAATATTTCCTGAGACGCGCAAAAAGAAACGAACTATTTTGCGCCACAGCAAGGGCAGACTTAGACACACTCTTAAATCTATCCAATACCTCAGAAATTTCCACACCCCACAAACTAGACAACAGAATAACTGTGCTGAAACTGCAACTGCATGGAAAATTCTTCGAAGAGCTAGACGAAATTCACCTCAACAAGAAAATATCATTGATTTGGCTAAAAAAAATCATGTTTATATGCCGAAAAAGAAGGGTTTTTGTTTGATATTCAAGACCAAGTAACTAATACTAAGAATCATCAAAGCTCTAGACTGGATAATTGTAAATGATTCT